TTGTTTTGTTTGTATGTTATCTATACAGGCAGGGTACTGTGCTGTGCTCCTCTATTCATTAGTTGACAGAACTTATACACTCACCACCTGTCTCCTTTCCTGTTGTCAGACTCTTGTATGTCCTTGCCAAGTCTGGCAAACAGAGCCTGTTCTTAGGTCCCTGGAATCTGAATGAGAATGCTATCACTTTAAAATCCAAAATGGTTGCCACTTGTAAACATTCATAATGGCTGCACCCTCGATCACTTTAAATATCCAAAATGGCTGCCACATGTAAACAATCAAAATGGCTGCACCCTCTGAACAGCAGAAAGTCCACAGCTCAGGTTGTCTCCCTCCTTGCTGTTTCCCTTCTTAGTCATAGGACACCAGAGCAGTTGTCCTTGCAGCCTTTGGTGACTGGGACTGATCTTTAGGTTGATTCTGAGGTCCCAAAACCACTTGGAAATATTCAGGCTGTTGGTCTAGTCAGAGTAGCTGACAGTCTACAGCTCCAACCATCTCTGTACTCACTGTTTTTGTTCAGGTTTTTTCACTAGTTAGTACCTAACCCACTACTGCATAGTTCCTTTCAAAGCTCAGGGTTCCAAGATTATCTTCTGTATCTCTGTCAACTGGTTTTTCTTTTCTTTGTTGAAGATGGTCTGTGTCACTTATCTGCCTATTCCTCCATCTTACCAGAAGTACTCAAAATTAAATTTTTATGTGCTTCCAAAGACTTCTCCAAAAGAGTCAAAAAAGAACCTGCAGATTGTGAAAAAATATTATGCAATAACATATCTGACAAGGTACTTATCTCTAGAATTTATTGAAAACTCCAATACCTCAATAACAAAAAGACAAATAATCTAATTAAAAAAATGGGCAGAAGACATGAATAGACACTTCACCAAGAAGCATATTCAGGAGGCCAACAAACATATGAAGAAGTGCTCACGATCATTAGTCATTAGAGATATGCAAATTAAAACAATGAGATACCATCTTGCCTCAGCACTAGTAGCAAAGATCAACAAGACAGAAAATAACAAATGCTGGTGAGGAAGCGGAGAGATTGGGAATCTCATATACTGCTGGTGGGCCTGTAAAATGGTGCAAGCATTGTGGAAAACAGTATGGTGATTCCTTCAAAAATTGGAATTAGAAATACCATTTGATCCAGCCATTCCATTACTAGTTATATATCCTAAAGAAGTGAGAGCCATGACAAGACCACATATATGCACACCCACATTAATTGTAACACTATTTACAATAGCCTAAAGATGGAAACAATCTAGGTGTCTATCAATTGAGGATTGGATAACCAAACCATGGTACATACACACAATGGAAAACTATGCAATGCTAAAGAATAACATAGAATCTGCAAAACACTGCACAATGAGGATGAACTTGAAGGACATTATGCTGAGTGAAATAAGTCAATCACAGAAGGACAGACATTGTATTAGTCAATTATTATAAAAAGTCAATGAAAGGTTTATATATGGAAGGAAATTTTCTTTGTTGATTATCAGGGGTGTGAGGGGAGGGGATGGAACACTGTTAGATAGGTAGAGATAAGTGTTAATTTGGGTGAAGAGAAGGACAATGTACCAAATGTGAGTGATCAACATGGTGGCATTGAGGAAGAGGAAGACATAGAGAGGTGCATGGAAGGTGCAGACAACAAAGATGAGCCCTTTTGCACATTCAGTACTGCTTTGTCCGTGAAGGCAAACATGGGTATATGGGTGGATAGGTGGGTGTACAGGCTGAATTATTAGGTATGTCTATTTAGCAGGGAGTGTACCATGTATAGGGTTGACCATGTATAGGGTTGACAGACAATGGTTCTACAAGTGTGTTTGTATGTTCTCTAAGAATTCTCAGGTATAGAGTAGACAAGGGACAAGGTTGTAGTCACTCCTTGGTCACATCCATCTATGCAGAGGAAAGGAGTAGTTGAACCTGTGGCATTGGGACAATAGCTGCAGGGGACATTAAGGTCAATTGACATAACATACCACACAAAACATCGTTCTACCTCCTGCTTTGGCGAGTAGCAACTGGGATCTTAAAAGCTTGCAAGCAGCCATCTAGATGCAATGATGGTTATTCTCATCCAGAGCAAAGAAGAATGAAGAAAACTAAAGTTTCATGGAAAAAATTAGTCAAAGGGACTGGTACACCATGCGATCCTCAGCCTATACGACTATGAGACCAGAAGAACTAGATGGTGCCCAGCTACCACTGTGAACCACTTGGAGGGGGATCTATATAGGAGATCCTGGATAGAGAGGGAGAACAATGTGGAACAAAACTAAAAATCAGTTGGAAAAAAAAAGGAGGAACCAGGTTTGCTGGTCTGACAGAGCCTGGTGGAACCACTGAGACTATGACCTCTAGCTGCCTTTCAGGTCTGGAACTGAACCCACACCTGTGGCTTCCAGCCAAACAAAAGACAGGCATATGAGTTGAATATTTACCTGAGATAGATACACTCCTTGGAGAGAACAATCAAGGGAGAAAGAAGGGCTATTTATTCACAGGGAGACAGCTCAGGGGGCAAGAGTGCATGGAGGGATGGACACAGGGAAGAGGTAATTATTGGGAGGAAGTGGGAGGGGAGCTGTAGCATTGTGGTAAATTCTAGTCAATATCATTAGACAAAGTGTATGTGAACTGCTGTATGAAAAGTGAATTTGCTCTGTAAACTTTCACCCAAATCACAATAAAATAAAATAAAAAGTGTTCATGAGAAGCAGTTTGCTGAGTCACTTTGTATAATAGGGTTTCTCAGATTTATAGTTTGAGCCCTTTATGATGGGACCTCTTCAGAGCATTATAACATTTGGAATATCAAGAAAAGTATTATTTGTAGTCTGTGTTTTCTAATTTACTGGTGGAGCTTTTGAGTAGACGGGAGAGGAAGAATGATCACAAATCCAAACAAAGTTGACTATGTTTTAAAAATGGGATAATTTGATCCCTTTCATATATGCATTTATGACATTTTAGGTTATTACTAAAAGGACAAATGTATTTAAAAGCGTTCCTGAGTTCACAATAACTGCTTGTCCTTATGCACTTTGTCAACAAATACCTTATTAAAATAGGGATATGCCCGTTTACTGAATGACCTTGGGTAGGTGAATGAACTTTTTTAAGCTTTAATTTCCTCATCTGGATATTTCACTACTCACTGTTGAGTCAATTCCAACTCATAGAAACCCTATAGATAGAGTAGAACAGAGCTCCAATGCTGCATAGAATTTACAAGCCTACACATCTCTACAGAAGAATGGCTGGTGGACTTGAACTGTCAACCTTCTGTAAGTATTCAAGTGCCTAACCACTGCTCCAGTAGGGTTCCTTGTCTAAACAGAAGGGATAATTGAGAAATAACACACCCCAGATAATCAGGTGCAATGCCTGGCCATAGGTGGTGCTCATGTCATGTTAAGTATTGTTATGTTATTACAAATCAAAGAGTTTATATTACAAATATAAATAGTTGAAGTATTTATTGAAAATAAAACTAAAGAATGTATTTTTAATACCAGAAAAAAGCAAAGTCACTGATGTCAAGTTGGATCTGACTCATAGTGACCCCTCCTTGGGTTACCATGGCGGTATCAATACAGACGTATATTGCCCAAAATACACACATCCTATCTCGTTCATGTTCCATGCTTTCTGGATATAATGACCAGTAAGATTGGTCACATTCTTCACATTGTCAACAGCAATGTACTTTTATGATTAAAAAATTGTCCTCAATTTAAGAAGTTATCTAGAGCATAGTATTGTACTTTTCTAACAGAAAAATCTGATTACGAACATGTTAGTCTAAAGTCGGTAGCTTTCACTAATTATTTCTTTTTAATTCCAGAGACCTTTCAGTTTATTTCCAAAAGGCACCATGGTTTCCCCTTCAGCCTCACCTTTTTCCTGAATGGAATACAGGTGAACAGACTAAGCTCCTGCTGTGAATATAAGCATCGGAAAGGTTCCAGACTAGGAGGCAAACGTGGCTACTTTGGGTTTGTGTGTGTCGAGAGATCATCTCCCTGCTACAAGTATGAAAATATATGTCCTTTGGTAGAGGACAAGATTTGCTAAATGTTTCTTTTTATGCTTTTACTGATACATTTCTCTGCATAATTTGCTAGGAAGGATATTAGTGTAGATGAGCCTGAAATATATGTTAAATGTTGTTTATTAAAACCCTGAGTGCTGCATTTGAAGCTATAAGATATAAATCTATAAATCTTTTTCCTGGATGCATCATATAATAGAGGTAAAAGCTGGTGGCGTATTTCAAATTCTATTTCTATTTCTCTCTCTCCTTTTCCCCATACTATTTTAACTTCTGCTTCTGAGGAGAGGGAAGATTTTTTTTCCCCATCATCTTAGTAACTGGTTTTGGGCTGAGCCCTGAAGTATGTGCCAAGCATATGATTTCTATAATTTGATTTTATAGACTATGCATATTAGAAGTGTGTCTATATTATTGTGTGACCCAATTTTTATTCACCTTAGTTTCACTCTCAGGGATAACAAAATACTTGATAAAATGTTAGTTGTGACTGTTTATCAGCTTCATGTTGAACACTCAAACTGAAGTTAGAAGATTTGCTTGCTTTGCAGACATTTTTTTCTATAAATACTTATGGAGACTTGACTATGTGCCAAGCTAAGACATGGAAGTAAGTCCTTGTCTTCACAGAGCACAGTCTAATGGGGGAGGGGAAAATAACATAAAAGGTGAAGTAATTAATATATGTTGGATGGTAAAAATGCTATAAATTAAAAAACAGGTGGGTGCTTTTTTTATGGAGGTTGTTTAAGGAAGGCTCGCTGATAATGTGTCTTTTGAGAAAAATCCTGAAAAAAAAAATAAGAGAGACTCAACCTTAAGACAGCTTTTCAGGCAGAGGTAAAGCAAATACAGAGCCTGAGATAGGGGTGTGTTTGATATGCCTATGCTAATGTAGCCAGAGCAAAAGCAAGTAGTGGAAAAATAATAAGCAGTTTAGGGCAGAGAGCTAGTGGGGCGGAGCCACAGAGGGTCTCAATGCCATTGTAAGAACTTTGACTTTTATTCTAAGTGGGCTGGGTCTTCAATGAGGATTTTGAGCATTGAGGTGTAACTTCTATGTGAAAAATTAGCTGTGAGGGAAAGAATGAAAACAGGGAGAATATTGCTTTAATACATGAGAAAAGGAAGGTGGATAAAGTTTGGAGTGATTGGATTCTACATTCATTTTAAAGGTGGAGGTTACAGGATTTAATCAAAATTCAGTGGTAGGATGCAAGATAAGGAAGGGGTCAAGATGACTCAAAGATTTGTTGGCCTGACAACTGGGAAGGTGTCTAATTAACGTGCAGTAAGATAAGAAAAGCTTCAGATGGAACAGGTTTGAGAAGTGAAATGAAGGGATTTTAGTTTTGGTCACATTAAATTTGAGCCATCTATTAGATATGCTCAAACATAGCAAAGATTATGAGCATGGCATAGGACCAGGCAGTGTTTTGTTCTTTTGTGTGTGGGGTCACAATGAATTGAAATTGACTCAAAGGCACCTATCAACAACAACATTTAGATATCCAGGTAGAAATGTTGAGTAGGCATTGGACATATGAATCTGGGGCCCAGGAGAGGTCTAAGCTAGAGATATATATTTAAATGTGGTTTGCATATGTTGTTGGTATGGTTAGGTGCTGTCGAGTTGGATCCGACTCATAGCAACCATGTATACAACAGAACAAAACAGTGCCTATTTCTGTGCCAGCTTCACGTTCCTTGTTATACCTGAACCTGTTGTTGCAGCCACTGTGTCAATCCATCTCATTGAGGGCCTACCCCTTTTTTGTTGACCCTCCACTTTACCAAGCATGATATTCTTCTCCAGGGAATAGTTCTTTCTCACTGTGTGACCAAAGGAGCTTCCAAAGAGCATTCTGGCTGCACATCTTCCAGGACAGATTTGTTTATTCTTTTGGCAGTCCGTGGTACTTTCAGTACTCTTCACCAACACCACAACTCAAAAGCATCAACTCTTCTTCACTCTTCCTTATACATTGTCCAACTTTCACATGCATATGTTGCAACTCCTCAGAAGGAAGATGGGACAATCTACTTCCGTAGTGATACAGCCTTGGAAACCCAAGGAGGGGTCGCTATGAGTTGTGTCCAACTCGATGGCACATAACAACAACAACAACAACGGGTTAGATGCACCTTAGTCTTCAAAGAGACATCTTTGCTCTTCAGCACTTTAAAGAGGTCTTTTGCAGCAGATTTGCCCAGGGAAATATGTCATCTGATTTCTTGACCTGCTGCTTCCATTGGTGTTGATTGTAGAAGCAAGTAATATGAAATCTTTGACAACTTCAGTCTTTTCTCCATTTATCATGATGCTGCCTTTTGGTCCAGTGTGAGGATTTTCGTTTTGTGTTGAGGTGTAATCCATACTGCAGACTATATTCTTTAATCTTCATCAGTAAGTGCCTCAAGTCATCTTCACTTTCAGCAAGCAAGGTTATGTCGTCTTCATGTCACAAGTTGTTAATGAGCCTTGCTCCAATCCTGATGCTGCATTCTTCTTCAGATAGTCCAGCTTCTTGGCTTATTTGCTCAGAATTCAGACTGAACAAGTATGGTGAAAAAATATAACCCTGACACACTCCTGTCCTGATTTTAAACCATGCAGTATCCCCTTGTTCTGTTTGAATGACAGCATCCTGCCTGATGAACAGGTTGCTCTTGAGTACAATTAAGTGTTCTGGAATTCCCATTCTTCTCAATGTTATCCATAATTTTTTATGATCTTCATAATCAAATGCTTCTGCATAGTCAATAAAACACAAGTAAGGAGCTCTGGAAGCATATTGCCTAAGGCACTTAACTGCTAACCAGAAGGTCAGCAGTTCAAACTCACCAGCTACTCCTTGGAAGAAAGGTTGGGCATTCTACTTCTGTAGTGATACCACCTTGGAAACTCAAGGAGGGGTCGCTATGAGTCGGGTCTGACTTGATGGCACACAACAACAACAACAACAACAACAAACTTTTTTCTGGTATTCTTTGCTTTCAGCCAAGATCCATTTGACATCAACAATGATATCCATTGTTCCATGTCCTCTTCTGGATCCAGCTTGCATTTCTGGAATTTCTCTAATATTATTGCTGTAACCATTTCTGAATTATCTTCAGCAAGATTTTACTTGCATATGAAATTAATAATATTGTTCAATAATTTCCACATTTTGTGAGATCACTTTTCTTTGGAATGGGTACAAATATGAATCTCTTCCAGTCAGTTGGCCAGGTAGCTGTCTTCCAAATCTCCTGGCATAGCTGAGTGGTGCCTCCAACGTGACATCTGTTTGTTGAAACATTTTAATATATTCTGTCAGTTCCGGGAGCCTTGTTTTTCACCATTTCCTTCATCGCAGCTTCGACTTCTTTCTTCAATACCATTGGTTCTTGATTGTATGCCACCTCTTGAAATGGATGAACATTGACCAATTCTTTTTGGTACAGTGACTCTGTGTATTCCTTCCATCTTCTTTTGATGTTTCCTGCGTCATTTGATATTTTGCTCATAGAATCTTTCAATATTGCAACTCTAGGGTTAAATTGTTTCCTAAGTTCGTTTAGCTTGAGAAGCGTGTTCTTCCCTTTTGGTTTTCTGACTTTACACATTTCATTATAATAATTGGCTTTGTCTTCTTGAGCTTCTTTTTGAAATCTTCTGTTCAGCTCTTTTATCTTGTCATTTCTTCCATTTGCTTTAGCTACTCTCTATTCAAGAGCAAGTTTCAGAGTCTCTTCTGATATCCGCTTTGGTCTTTTTTGTCTTGTCTTTTTAATGACCTTTCACTTTCTTCATGGATTATGTTCTTGATGTCATCCCACAATTCCCCTCATTTTTGGTCATTGGTGTTCTATGCATCAAATCTATTCTTTAAATGTTCTCTAAATTCAAGAGGGATATAATCAAGGTCATGTTTTGGCTCTCATGACTTTTTATGTCTTCAGCTTCAACTTGAACTTGCATGTGAGCAGTTGATAGTCTGTTCTACAGTTAGCTCCTGACCTTGTTTTGGCTGAAGATGTTGAGCTTCTCCACTGTCTCTTTCCATAGATACAGTCAATCTGATTTCTCTGTACTCCATCTGGCAAAGTCCACACATATAGCCACCACTTATATGGTTGAAAAAAGGTGTTTGTAATGAATAAGTCATTGGTCTTGCAAAATTCTATTGTGCAATCTCCAGTGTCATTTCTATCACTATAGCCATATTTTCCAACTATGGTGATTTTTCTTTGTTTCTAACTTTTGCATTCCAATCACCAATAATATTCAACACCTCTTGATCACATGTTTGGTCAATTTCAGAATGCAGAAGTTGGTAAAATCTTCAGTTTCAACATCTTGGCTGTGGTTGTTGGTGTGTAAATTTGAATAATAGTAGTATTAACTGGTCTTCCTTGTAGGCATATGGATATTTTTCTATCACTTACAGCATTGTACTTTAGGATAGATCTTGAAACATTCTTTATGATGATGAATGCCACACCATTCTTCTTGAATTTGTCATTCCTGGCATACAGTTATCTGATTCAAAATGGCCCAAAACAGTCCATTTCACCTCTCTAATCCCTAAGATATCAATCTTTATGTGTTCCATTTCATTTTTTACAACCTCCAACTTTCCTAGATTCATGTGCTTTGTACATTCCATGTTCTGATTAACAATGGATATTTGCAACTGTTTCTTCTCATTCTGAGTCATGTCACATCAGTAAATGTAGCTTCCAAAAGCCTTACTCCATCCACATCATTAAAGTCAACTCTACCTTGAGGAGGCAGATCTTCTCCAGTTGTACTTTGAGTACCTTCCAACCTGAGGGGCTCATCTCCTGGTACTATATTCAGGGATTTTCATAAAGTTTTCCAGTAGTATATTGACAGTATTTCAGTGCTATTCATAAGGTTTTCACTGGCCAATTCTTTCAGAAGTAGTGGCCCCTTCCTTCTTCTAGATGTTATTTAAAGCCATAAGATTA